AATTATTGTTAAATTTATTTTAATTAAAAATATATATATATCATGTATGTGATTTTTTAAATTAAAAAAAAATTTTAAAAAGATTACTGGTGAAATTTATTTTAATTAAAAATAATATTTTTTTCAATTTTTTTAGTTTAAAAAATCACTGACAAAATATATTTCCGGATTTTTTTCACTATTTTACCACTTTATCGTTCAAAAATTTTTTGTTCATTGGGGTTTTTTCCGGATTTTTTTCACTGTTTTACCATTTTAACTAATTATACAAGTCATAAGAATGTATCCAACATGTTTTATAAAAGTTCAAGAAGTTATTTAACATGTTTTGGATTATTCAAGAACTTATTTGTTCCAAAAATTGTCCAAGGAGTTATTTAACATTTTTTGGAATGTCCAAGGACTTATTTGTTCCAAAAATTGTCCAAGGAGTTATTTAACATTTTTTGGAATGTCCAAGGACTTATTTGTTCCAAAAATTGTCCAAGGACTTATTTAACATGTTTTGGAATGTCCAAGGACTTATTTGTTCCAAAAATTGTCCAAGGACTTATTTGTTCCAAAAATTGTCCAAGGACTTATTTAAAATATTTTGGAATGTCCAAGGACTTATTTAACATGTTTTGGAATGTCCAAGGACTTATTTGTTCCAAAAAAAAAGTCCAAAAACTTAATCATTTCAAACAAAAAAGTCCATTGGTTTTTATTGTACTTTTCCCTATTTTAAACCAGCTTAAACAAATTTCATATAAAACGACAATAAAAATAAATAAATTATATAATAATAATTTATGATAAACTTCATATAAAATGAAAATTTTCAACAACTAATCTTTTTTTTTTTTTTGGCTTTCTATTTGTTGTATCTCTCCTTTCTGTTGTCCCACAACTTAATTAATAAGAAAAAACGAGTTCGTTTTTTTAGATAATTATAAATATTTATGTGTCTTAATCCATAAAGTTAGGGGTTGTTTATCAAACACTTACTCGTTAAGTGTTTATGGGTAAAATTTAACACTATTATTTACATATTGAATAAGATTTTAGTCCATCAAATCGAAATCGTATATAACAATTTTCCTGGTAAGCGCTTACAGTGGTAAGAGTCGTCGTCCTAACTTACCGCGTAAGACTCATGATTTTTGTCTCGTTCTTACCGGGTAAGATTCTTGGTCCTTATCATATTCATCCGATGAGGTAATGTAACTTGGTAAGTACCTATTTGGATAAGCGTTTGGTAAACGACCCATTAGTTTAATATGGATTAACAATTTCTCCGTTGTGAATTATAACATCTTTTTAGCATAATGTATTATTTTTTATGATCCTGATATAAATATGGTAAGCTAAATGTGTGACAAAGTTAATTATATGTTTTGGGGGATTTAGAGATTTTTATGATTTTTTTTTTCTATTTTAACATACAAGATAGCATAGCTGCTGAAGCTGTTAAAATCTTACTTTTCTGTATTTTAGCATAGTTACAAATTTTGACATTTGAAGCTCAAACTCAAATCGATCGAACGCCACCCTTATGGTTTGCTGTTATGAATGTAATTTTCTACTTGTTTCATATTTAAAATAACAAATATATACAATGAACATTTATTTGAAACAACTTATGCTTTTCTATAAAAGCACTTATCAACTTATTATAAGTCATAAGAGTTTATATTATCGGTTTGATACCGGTATAAATTGTTTATCCAAACACTAAAAAATGCTTATTACCGATGCCTAGTGATGGCCAAACCGGCCCGGTCCGGGACCGCTGAAGGACTGGAACCGGGACCTGCAAGGGACCGGTTGAAGGACCGCCTGTTACACCCCGGTTACCATTTTCGTCGTTTTTCGGGACCGAGACCGGTTATGGGACCGACCCGATCCGGTCAACAAAAGTCAAACTAGCCGTTATGCTCGGTCAAACTAGCCGTTATGGAGGAAATATAGCCATTTTTTCATCTCCTTTGCTACCAATTCACTATAAATATGCATTTCACTCCCAAGTAAACATACCAACTCATCTCTTCTTCAAAAACGCAAAAAACGCTCTCAATTCTCAGTTTCTCGCTATATTTTGTGAATTCGACTCGTATTAATTTCTCGTTTCCACTTCACAATTCTCGTTTCTTTCTCTCTTTGTCTTACAAAATGGCCGATGAACAAGCATCAAACGAACAAGTTGCCCAAGTTATCGACAAACACGGAAGAAAGTTCGAGATTTGGAATCACTACAACTTGGTGGTTCTCACGACCGGAAAAGAAAGGCACAATGCAAATTGTGTCAAGCGCTCCTTACGGCAGAAGGAAATTCTACGTTAAGGAGGCACACCGAAAGACGTGCCCGGGGTTGAGGTCGGGGGGCAATTTAAGCCAACCGATACTTGACACCCAAGGTCAAATATGGTCGTATGATGCCGAGTTGAACCGACAAATGACAACACAATGTGTCATTCAAGTCGGGTTGCCTTTCGAACATTTCGACAACCCTCACGTTACGAAGTTGATTCAAAAGACGCTACAACCACGATACAAGCCGGTAAGTCGGCAAACCCTTAGACATGATGCAATAAAAATGTGAAAAATGTGTCGGGCCGAAATGCAACAAATGTTTTCCGCTTCGCCTAACAATATTTCTTTAACGTGTGATGTTCACCATACGGATTGTCGGTTTCGTATATATGCATAACGGCACATTGGGTTGAGCCTACAACATGACATTTATTCAAACGTGTAATCGCGTTTGAACCGTTTGGTGCGCCACATTCGGGAGTACGTCAATTTTCAGTTATAAAAAATGTCTTGCATTTTATAATTTAACCGCTAAAATAAATTAGTATTTCATTTGATAATGCTAGTAATAACAATTCTTGTGTGGAAAAATTAAAGTGTCATTTGACACCTATTTTAGACGGTAAATTATTTCATACATGTTGTTGTGCACACCGAATAAATGTAACCGTTCAAGACGGTTTAAATACTTGTAAACCCGTAATAGATAAGTTTAAACTTATGTTGCGGCAAATTTTCCCAAAATGTAAAAAAAAAAAATGAATGCGGCATATAGAAAGTATTGGGAGGACGTTGGTTTTAGAGCTTTGGGACCGAGGTTCGATATGTCCGTTCATTGGAATTCGACTTATTTTATGATTGAAAATTTGTTGAAATAAAAAAAAATATTTTTTCTTTTTATAGACACCATTATCCGCAAAATTCTATTGGAAATCTTGATTGGACCGTGCTTGAAGGATTGCACGGTCTTTTAGGTGATTTTAAAAATGCGACAACACTTTTATCCGGAATTTATTATCCAACAAGCCCTTTAGTTTTAAACCAAATATATATTTTGGCAAGTAAAATTGCCCAATACGAAGACCATCACGATTGGGGAAGGTTGATGTATTGCATGAAAAAGAAATTGTTAAAATATTTTATGGGCATCCCATTTGCTTTTCTTTGTGCTGCGGCGTTAAACCCGTATTTAAATATTGCCGGTGTTCAAGTTTTAATTACACAAATATGTGTGGCTTTTGGTTTGGATACCGCTACAGATAATTCTTTTTCAATGGAACAAAAACATTTGTTTAATTGTAATTTTCAAGATTTATTTGATCATTACAAACATTTTTACGGAGGAGGAAACCAACCACAAACACCTTCAAGTCGTGGGTTTGCGGGTTCTAGTTCTTCTTCTAGTGGTCATCGACAAAGTCGTAAAGAGTTGATGACTAATTTAATGAACAAGGTTTTATATGAATCAAGTAAAAAAAGTCAATATGATAACGATTTGGGTGAACTAAATATGTATGTGCATACTAACTTTATGGCCGCATGCCCCGCAAATGATGTCGAAGACTTTGACAAAAAATTGATTTATTAGATTTTTTGAAACAAAAACAACCCCAATTCCCGATTTTGGCGTGCATCGCACGTGATGTACTAACAATCCAAGCTAGTACATAGCTTCGAAGTCTGTTTTTTTCTCTTAGTGGCATGATCATTTCGATACGTCGGACAAGACTAAGCCCAGAGTCCGTGGAGTGTTGCATCTGCTTGAAGGATTATTTGGATAGCGTTGATAGGATTCAACACACGACATTGTTAGAGATGGAGATTGAAGCAGTGAAAGAAGAAAATGAAATTTCCATGAGAGTAAGCACGCCGCCAACTAACGATACCGATGACACTTACTCACAATATGACGATGATGAGGAACTCGACATTGATGACCTTGAAGACCAAGAGGCTATTAGAGAAATTCAAGAGACCAAAACTCTTCAAGTCAATCCGACATGGGATACCGATGAAGACTGATTAATAAATGTATTTTCAAATAATTTTATAATAAATTTTTGTAAAACAATGTCATTTTAATCATAATAAAGTGTATTTGAGTGACCCGTATTTTTAAAGTGTATTTTTAAAAATATTTATAATAAAACATATTTTTAAACGTATTTATAACAAAACATATTAAAAATAACATATTACAAATATATTAATAACATATTAATAACAAAAAATTTAAAAAATAAATATAAAAACATTTTTTTTGAATGAGACCGGTTGGGACCGGGACCGGCTAAGCATAACCGGTTATAGGTTGCCTTGACCGGTTAAGAGGATTTTCACCGGAACTGGGACCTGTTACTGCCGGTTAAAGAGATCATCAGGCCTGATAGAGACCGGCTCGGCCCGGCCCGAGATCGGTTTTTAACCATCACTACCGATGTCATACCGAAATAAATTAATAAGTTATTTTTATAAACAAATCCAATCCCCCCTCGACTTTCATTAGGTTTACCATATTTCTTTAAAATAAAAGGTTTCGTTACTAGCTACCAATTTCACCTCTTCCCATTTCAATTGGTCGTCTCGATTCTTCTCGAATCGTCTACTCTGTGTGTGTAAATTAAACACAAAGCTTGAAGCTTCCATGATCTTGAAGAGAAATCATAATCATGTTCGGCGTCGTCTTCCCCAATCGGAGTTTCCCCATCGACATCTCAACTTTCACCCAAATCGACACCTTCCACTGGCTCCTCGACATGAACACCTTCGTTGGTAAATCTCAATTTCATACACACACTAACACAAACACAAACACAAACACAAACTTAGCTCTCATCGGTAGCTAAATTCTGACATGCATTCGTTTGCAGGTGAGGCATACGATTCAATCCGCGAAGTCTGCATCTTCCTCCTCAATAACTTCACTCTTCCTGCCGACAAAGCCCTAGCTGTCTACATCCAGTCTCCTGGCTCCCCTTTCCTATTCGTTGGTGCAGTAACCCTAGCCCGCCCATCTGCCGTCCTCTCCCTCCCCTGGCCCGATCCCGGCGGCGAAGGAATTAACAAACAGCTCACTGCCCCCGATGCCGCCCCTCTCTCCGCCAAAATCGGTGTTTCCGTTGAAGATCTGTCCTCTCTCCCATCCCTTGATGTGGTGGCGGAGAAAAGGATCGAACGGTTGGCGATGAAGGTTGGGGAGAATTTGTTTAATTTCATGCAGTCCTTCTGTGGAGTTGATGGGAGCAAGCTGGTGGTGCCAATGGATATATTGGATAGGTGGTTTAAGAAATTTCAAGAACGAGCGAAACGAGATCCTGAGTACTTGAAGGGATTTGCTTTCTAGTGTTGAGGTACATTTCGTAATTTATAAAAAGAACAAGTTGGTATGTTGCATTCTAGTTGTTCGATGAAATGCCTGTTGTCGGTGTGCCCTAATTTAATGGTTAAAACTAGCTGTTGTTTACAATTCTTACTCAATTCAAGAGCTGTAGCTATAGCTAGGAGATGAAATCATCAGCTGAATCAGTCAGCAGAACAAATACCGGTAACCAGTTTTGCTAGTGCATTTTTTGAAGGGTACCCATTATTTCAAAGGTGCTGATGCTACAATTAGCCATACTTGCAATTAACACCAGAAGCCTACCACTTGAATTGCAACTCATCAGTTACTAATTCCACAACCTTACTTACTTTTGGAATGGCAAATGATACTCATGTGTGGAACTTTGGAATGGCATCTATTCACATGAGGATTCAAGATCTTAATTCTTTATTGGACTTATTCACGGGAAGGATGGAAATTTGTTAGCTTTTCAAGGGCAAAAAGCCATTCTTGTGCATGATCCGTTGCTTCATTCAGGGGCAGACACTGAAAACATGGGTGCACAAGGTGCATTCTTCAATAGACAGAATCAGGGCATGTATGAACACTTACTACAGTGACAATGAAATTTGCAAGAATGATGGTAATGAATGGTTGTTTCATACTTGAGAATTCATTTACAAGTCATCCATGGGGTTTTCTTATGAAAACATGTATGGTTTTTGACCTGCTGCTGCCTGCTGATAGAAAACCAAATCCCCTTTTTCGTTCTTCAAGACCTCTTTGGGTGCACTTGTTCCAGATTTAAACTCATCCTTGAAGTCATCATCTTTGAATCAGACTTAACAACCAACAATCATACCACTCATGGTCATGTTCTTGTCTTGTTTGCTTATTTTCTAGCTGCTAGTTGTGGGAATTAATGCATTTTCTGATTTCTAAGAGAACTCTTGGAAATCATACTGCTGCTGCTAATGACTTGGGATTTTAAGTTATTTTTATTTATTTATGGTTCTACATAGAGACTAAGGGGTCATTTATCAAACACTTACTCGATAAACGCTTATCGGTAAAATTTAACATTATCATATACTTATTAGGTAAGATTTTAGTCCACCAAAACAGTATCCTATGCAACAATTTATCTGGTAAGCGCTTGTTGTGGTAAGAGCTGTTGCTCTCACTTACCGGGTAAGACTCTTGATTCTTGTCTCGTTTTTACCAGGTAAGATTCTTGATCCTTATCATATCCATCCGGTAAGATAATATGACTTGGTGTTTACTTATCCGAGTAAGTATTTGGTAAACAGCCCCTAAGTTGGCATTTGTTTTCTTAAGGAATGTTGAAGTCTGAAGTCTTATCTCACTTTTGATTGATAAGAAGTGATGAAGCCTGAAATCTGAATCAATAAGACTGTTTTTGTAAACCGCCAAACATTTGAATATATATATATATATATATATATATGTATAATTGTCTAATTTTATCCTTCAAAATGTTATACATACCGGTTGAATTTATAAAAATAGCAATTCATTTTAATTAAATTGTATTACCATCTATTTTTAGCACAATCAAATATACTACCGTCCATATTAATACATTCAAAAATTCATCTAAAATACAATAGAATCCATGAACAAGGTTTCACGACAAGTAAAATCAATCTTATTTTGTATTAACCGTGTCGTAATTTCTTCTCTTAAACTAGTCGTATATGTCTGGTCCATGGGTACTTCCATGCGATTGAATATCTTCAGCCTCATTCTTACCATCAGCCCCTTGTTCAATGGTTTGTCCACGTTACATGTACATTTTCGTCCATCACTAATTAGCACACATGAAAGAATCAATATTCACGATGTGAATAAAACAGATGATGCAAATCTTTGCATATCCAATAAAACCAATGAGGCAAATATGTTCATACATTCATGATGCAAAAATCAACAAAAAGAATCAGGAAAAACAACCACAAAACACACGAACACATTTGCAAACACATATATAAAATTCCTCTCTCTCTCTTTCGATTTGATTTTTACTACTCGTGAGTTTTCGAGTCGAGTTCTAGCTTGAAAATTGGGTTTCGAATTTGAGTCGAGTATAGTGATACTCTCGACTCGCATAATTTACCCCCTAGATATGCTAATCAATACTCAAGAGGATGTTGCCATAGGCCAATCAATACTCAAGAGGATATGCCGGAAGGGATACTCTATTAAATCAAGCTACATGCGGCTTTTGTCGCCAATACAAAACAGAAGCAAAACAAAAAAGCTATAAAAGAAAGAAAGTCACCAAAAGACGAAGTCACTCCGAGCATAAGACGAAGCTTCTCAAATTGCTCCAACTTCAATGGCTTCTGTAACAACTCGTCCCACATTGATAGAATGTGAGAATTGTTAACTCCTTATAAGTCTCAAGTAGTGGGCTACCATAACTTCCACCATGGTTTTAAGTTGGATTCGAAGTTATTGAGCTAGTTCATTGCTTTGGATTTTGGGGTGTTACAGCTTCCTCCGCGAGCTAGGATAAAATCATGAGATGTACTCCTTCCCTTACGGGGGCCATGGAGTAGCGTATTTCAAAAGAGGAAGACGGGAATGGGTCTCGGCTTTCAAAAAGATGAGCATGCAAATGTCATGATGTCTGCAATTCGATTCTCTGACCCACAAAAACATAATTCCACAACTCCATCACTTACCGGTTCTCTAAGAAAATGAAAGAACTCCGACGTGCTTACTCTTTCCATGGAAAACAGGGTTTTCCGACAGCTGAATAGTAAAACTATTGTAATTTTTATTAAGATATTAAATCTACCGTTAATAATCCTATTGCTGGCTGCGGAAAGTTCTCCATCATCATCGACCAATAGTCGTTTGACCATCAACTTTCGGAATACATGGTTGCATGAACTTATTTGAAGTTGACATTTTGATCTCTACTCAAACTCTCACACTTCCTATCAAAATTCTATAGAGGCTCTGATACCAATTGTTAAGAACAAAACACACATATCACACCAAGAAATTGCCTGCAAGCAAAACAGAAAAGCTATAAAAAAAGAAAGTGATTATGTATTTGATTAAAGATATGAGCTGTAAATGGGTTGACCTCCCCCTCCAATAATTATGATTATGATTGCTTAACATATACAAAGAAAGATAATCATAATCCTAAAAGAAATGCATATATATATATATATATATATATATATGATTCATGATTTTTACATGATGATCCTCCAGCAATCTGAAAAACAAAAATAGAATACCTTCAAATTTCCCATGTCTTTCCAGATACCATGTGGAATGGCAAATGCAACTGATGATGTGGAACTTGGAAGCATTCAAGACCCTACTGTCCAATTTCTTCTTCATTGCACACAAAAACAACACAAGGAATTTTCACCAACATCTATTCAAATCATTCCAAGCAGGGTTCGAGATCTTAACCCGAGGGCTTTCAACCCGA